GTACTGCGCGACCAGGCTGCCGGTGCGACTTGTGCGTCCATACAGGTTAGTGGCGTTTCTTACCTTTCTGTTCGCGCTTTGTTTAAGCTGCTGACGAATAATACAATTAACTTTTTTTCTATTCTAGCGACGATGGAACAGCATCGACACCGACGGCAAACTCTAAAGTGTGCGGCAAATACTTCACCGGAATCGAGAAGCGGAGTGCGGTCGCCCACCTAAGCCTACACTTGGATGTTTCCAACAGTCTACAGGAAGATAGTAGTGGGAATCGCGGAACGGCGCGAAAAAAATCGCCCAGTTATTGTCAAGCTGATTCAGAAATAAACGTACATAATTACCACGGTCCACTCAACGCCAACTACATTTTTTTGCGGGCACGCTTAATTTTGTTAGCAGAGTACGGCGCTCCGTGACATCCACTTGTCCGTCGAAACGGACCTCCTTCACGTCGTACACGCGGCCAGGATCACGAAGGAGTATCTCTTCTTTATATTGGTACCACGGAAGAAGCTTTCTAGATTCGTAACCGCCTTAAACCCCGTCGTAATCACCCCGGGAACACTGTCCGCTGTGCTGCTCATCGCCATTGGTTCCCCCCGATGATTCTGCACCGGTTACCGAAGAGGTTTTCCGGATTCCTAATCGCCCTCTGTCCTCTGTGGTGTTCGTTGCTATTACTTCCCGATGATTCTGCGCCGACGGCACCGGCTACAGAAGGAACTTTCCGAATTCGTAACTGCCTTAAATTCCTTCGTAATCACGACGGGGACACTGTCTGTCGTGCTGTTCGTCGCCATTGCTCCCCGATGCTCCTGCGGTGGCTACCGCTAGGTCGCGGCGAACAATAGGCGACTGCCGCGACACGGCCGGCATGCTCGCTTCCTATAGGGAGCATTTTCAATTTAATGACGGACACCTCAGGCGCAATTTGATTGCTCATGCGTATGCGTCAGTTGGCGTACAGAAAGAAAGAAAGTGGGCCGTGAGGCTAAGCAAAGGCTGGCGATGCTCGCAAAAGATCGACGCAAACGTGGCAAAAGTGGCCCATAAACCACGTGATCCCGATCAAGCAGTTACACACTGAAATCTAGGCACACTGCTACTTTGAAGCAGCCGGGCGCAAAAATAGCAGACGATTGCGCAGTTCTTTTCAACGCGCCGATTTGCTTCGTGCAAACTTGAGCTAGGCTGAGATTACACAAGTATGTTATAAACCACGGACATGCCCACTTGCTGTGCACCTGGATGCACGAGTGGGTACGACCAATACCACCTATTGGTACGACTCTCGGCGCAAGGCAGGAAGACATTTCTTTCGACCACCGCAAGATCCTGAACTCTCTAAGGCCTGGGAAGAGGCGATACCTCGATCAGAGTTCCGTTTGACTGCCACCAGCAAGGTATGCGACCTTCACTTCAAAAGCAGCGACATAATTAAGAATTATGAACACAAAGTTGAAGGACAAACAGTGCTCATCCCCAGGGGCAGCTGGCTCCTGAAAAAAGGTGCGGTGCCGAGCGTATTTTCGTCGCCGCCGCGGTCGCTACAGTTTAAACCAGCGACTAAGAAAAAGAGGAGAAAAGTGTTCAAAACACCATATGAAAAGGCTATGGTGACGAAGAACTCCGTCCTTCTGAACCTGCGAAAAATTCAACATTCATCGGCGTCTTGGCCCAAATCAGAGGACAATCCTATTTCGAGGATTGGTCGGTGAACACGTCGCTAGACGAGCATATTGTGTTCTACAAGCTGTCAGCAAATGACAGCATAATTTCAGTCGAAAAGGCAGTGGCCCTGAAGCAAGACCTGACAGTCACAGTCAGATCGAGGGGCAAGCTGATTCCAAGTAGTTCTTATCAAGGGGAAGGAACCAGTGACCAGTGTCCCCCACTAGTGCTAGAGACCGTCACGAAAGTCAAGTCCTTTCTAGCTTACCTTGACACACTAAAGTTGTGTGAAGGCTGCAGCACCTCACGCTGCCCCAACATCATGACGTCTACAGTCGCTCTGAAAGAAGGCGAAGAGTGGCACAAAACAAACTGACAAACTGTGCAGTCCTGTCCCAATCAAGCTGCTGCCTGGAGTGCGTCAAGCTAAAAAAACAATTTGGGAGGCAAGACAAGGCGGTCGATTCTAGACCACCTAAGACTCAGAGGCCATCCCGCCAGGCAAGAAAACAACTGAGGAAGAAGATAATCAAAACCACTGCAATCCGAGAGAAACTGCAAAGAGAAATTCGGACTCTAAAACGTCAAGTCTCATCTGTCAAAACAGAAAAGATTGATGCTGCCATCGAATGCCTACCAACTACACAGCGGTTGGCCTTTCGAAGTGCGTTAACTGCCATGAAAGCCAAGTCATCGCGAGGAAGGAGGTACAACACAGAGTGGCTGATGACCTGCCTGTTGCATCGGATATCAAGCTCCAAGGCATACCACCTCAAGACACAAATGAACCTCCTCCCACTGCCGTCAACATCAAGACTACAACAAATAATCAAAGGAGCTCCATGCGAATTTGGCTTTAACAAAATTGCTCTAACAAGCATTGGTGCACAATTTGCTGAAAAAGAAGGCCACCTGTGCTACGGCACCTTAATTCTAGATGAGATGAAAGTCCGCAAGGCAGTCTCGTATAACACAAGGACGTACAAGCTTGATGGGTTCATCGATTATGGAGATGAAATGTATCAAGAGGACACTGCTGCTGACCACGCACTTGTCTTAATGTTTGTACCCCTCTTCCATGCTTGGGTCCAGCCAATAGCAAGTTTTGCAACACGAAATGCTGCACCAGGTGACGTTCTTGCAAGACTTGTCCTGCATGCTATCTTGGAGCTCAAGAAGCAAAATGCATTTGTTGTGGCTATAATTAGTAACGGCACAAGCACCAACAAGGCAATGTGGTCGGAGTTTGGTGTGACAGGGAAAATAGAGTCTCCACAGCACAAAGTTGAGCATCCGTGCGAGCCAGGCCTCCATCTCTACTTCATGTACGACATGCCTCACCTGATCAAATGCATCAGAAATCACCTCTTACGCCACCAGTATGGCATGGTAAGAGTACTAGTAGAATTGTGCTTATTTTAGCCCTTGCTGTTGCCAACCTATTTTCGAGCATGTGTTATATTTTATTCAAATTTCGCACCCACAGATGGGTGAATACAAGGTTGACTTCAACCACTACAGGCTTCTGTTCGAGGCTGACAGCAGTGAACAGCTACGAGCAGCCCACAAGCTCACCAAGGAGCTTGTGGCGCCCGACAACTTACGGAAGATGAATGTCAGACTAGAAGTTCAGGTGGGAATTTTTAGAGACTAATCGTGGTAAATCACAGTATTGCATCAAAACTGATTTTTCAGATTTCTTTGAGGTGTGTTAGATTCATTTGACCCTCGTTGTCTATCAATAAATTTTAGCGTTGGGAGCAAGAAAAAGATGACGAAAAATGCACAAAATAAATATATTGTGCAGACAAACTGGTGATGCATAGTTAAAAAAAAACACAGGATGGACAAAAAAGGGAACAGTACTATGTCTCAACAGACAACATTGTTGCCCCGCTCCTTTTTTGTGTGTCCAGAGTTTCAGATTCTTTTAGTAACTACACAATATACACTTTTAGTTTCTACACGCCCACTTGGGGTGGAAATATCAGTGTTATGTGATAAGCCTTCACTCTTACTTAAACATTTACCATGGTATACAGGTCGTAATAGTATGTAAGTATACAAACAATATAAAAATTGGCAGCATCCTTTATATTCAAAGTCCTATAATGCTTGAAGGGCAGCATTCAAGGTGGAATCATTTAAAATTATTTAGGAGACATAAAACCGTTGTTTGGGGGAGTGAAGGAATACCCTGATTTTAATCAATTTCCCCCAGTACATTTAGTGGGAAAGCTGGGTGCATAGGTCACATGGCAAAAATTGCCCGGTAAATTTAGTGTGGAAACTAAATTGGTGTATGAGTTACATAACATCAATTTTCCCGCTAGATTTAGGAGGGGAACTGAAAGTGCTTAAGTCATGTGACGTTGACTTTCCCGCCAAATTTAGCGGGGAAACCAAGTTGGTACAGGGGCCATGACGTCTAGTCACGTGACATCGATTTTTTCGCAAAATTTATAGGGAAAACTAAATTGGTGTATAAGCCTCGTGGCATCAGGTCATGTGACATCTCATTTCCTGCTAAGTTTACCAGGGAAAGTGAATTGTTATATCGGTCACATTACCAGGTGTCGGGCTGACCAAACTAGTCTTAAAGCAAATGATGGAGCAGAAAAATTCGTACTTTGGAGCAGCCAAAGAACAGAAAATTTTGTATTTTCTGCAACTTAGGAGTAGAAAATCTGCATTTTGGAGCAGTAAAGATAAAAAAATCTGTATTTTGGAGCACCTTAGGGGTAACTGCGGACAATTCAATGAAACCAGGTTTGTACTACAGGTGACTTACTAGCATCAGACACTGGTGTAACGAGAAATGTATAATGGAGTGATCGCTGATACCCAGTATGGAAAACATACCGTATTTCAGGATATGGAAGAGGCAAGGTTAGAGTCAGAGGATAAAATGAGATCTAGTACAGTGGCCGAAGACACAGTGACTCGAGTAGGTTCAGCAACAAGTTGTGTTAACGAAAAATCTAAGCAAGGAAAAAAACATTGCCTTATATTCGAATAAATATGGTTCTTTTTGCTTTGTATACCTCTCTGGAAAGCAAAGAATTATGTTAACCTAGCTCTCCTGTCGTGGGGAATCTAGCTGGTATTTTTATAAATTTACAGGCATCTCCACGGGATCCAAGTGGATCTGAATTGGACTCTCCTGGCACAGAAGTTTCAGAACATCCTCCAGGGGTATGCAGTTTCTATTTAATTTCAATGAGAAGATTTAATATTAAGAATTAATGGATTATCCTATTAGAAACATGAAAGCTGTATTTGTTGTTATGAGTGTCTAAAAGTGCATTATTAAAATTTTCACAGGAGCAAGGCATCTCCTCAGATGATCTCAGTGACGAAGTTTGCTGCTCTCAACGGGGGCGAGACTCATCAGTGGTAATTATAATCATTGTTACTACACTATGAAGAAACAGCTAAGTGAAGGAGCTACTGTTTTAAAAAGCTTAATGTAAAGGTAAACTGGGTCTGCAACATGTGTTTACTGTAGGGGTACGCGAATATTCATGCAAATATTCATAATTTTCGAATAACAAATTGAGTATTGCCTTATTCGATTCATTTTTGAATCAAAAGTACTTATGTAAAGTTTTGAATATATTACAAATAATATACAAATAGGAACGGTTTTAACAAATAAAAATTTCCTTGACATGCACCCTACACATGCCAGTGATAAATTTCATTAGGTGTCGCTGTACTGTTCTCCTAGCCCTAGGCAGAATCACCATCAGCTGTAGCAATTTGTCTATACGTATGGTGTAAACGCCATTCGGCAATACCTTGCAATACTAGCGATATAGGGGGCGATGACACTAACCTGTGACAAGTCCGCGAGAAGTACTTTTTTCTGAATGTGTCGTAACAAGTGTCCTTATATTGTCATGTATGAGAGTGAGAGGTAGAACTTGCCACTGTCACATGTCATACTGAGGCACTTTGTATCATCTTGGTTAAAAGCTATGTACCACTACAATCAGTGGCTCCTTCCCTTATGTGGTTCGGCACTCTCGTTTTGTTTGAAAGCTTTTTGCAAACTGTGATATTCTGTGATCTTATAGCTTCGGTTTTTCTTGTGTTCTCTGATGCACTCTTTCTGCGCGGTTTTTCTTCACGCAGTTACTAGGTTTCTGCAGCTTGTGATGCCAAAATCCTGCATTAGCTGTAAAACCTACTCTGTTTTAGAGCGCAGCTCTTAAGCGCCCGTTTCCAGCTTGAGCGGTGTCGCCGTCGGCGTAGCATTATGGGTAAATTTCCCCCCTAAATCTAGCGGAAAAATTTTCCCGCTAAATCTAGCAGAAAAATTTTCCCGCTACATCTAGCGAAAAAATTTCCCCGCTACATCTAGCGGAAAAAATTTCCCCGCTAAATCTAGCGGAAAAATTTTCCCGCTAAATCTAGCGGAAAAATTTCCCCGCTAAATCTGGCGGAAAAATTTCCCCGCTAAATCTGGCGGAAAAATTTCCCCGCTAAATCTAGCAGAAAGATATCCCTGGGGGTCACGTGACCCCCCCCCCCCCCGAGGTCACGTGACCCCCACGGGATTTTGGGGAGGGAGTCACGTGACCTCAGGGGTGGTCACGTGACCTTTGTGGCCTTGGCTCCTCCTCAAGAGCTGCGCTCTAATTCGGCGTTACAGGGAGTTGTAAACGGCTTTCATTTTTTTTGTCTCGGCATCTACTTCATATCACTCAGTTGTAATCATTTTCACCTACACTCGTTTCTGCCAGAGATAGAACCGAGTATAGGTGAAAATTGTTTCCAGGTAACCTCAAGAACCATGTAAATAAGTCAGCTCCTTGCAGTGTCACTAGTTCTATCAAAATGTATGCATTTCAGGTGCAAACAGAATGGTCTGTTTCTCCGAAACCAAATCTTGTAAGAATTCGCGACGAGTACAGTCTTGCATTTTTTAATGATTGCAGGATGTTTTGCAGACAGTAAGCTAAATTGTTCTTTCGACGGTTTACTTCTCTTTACAAAACAGTCTACCCTCTCTTCGAAAACTATTTGTTCTTGTTTAAGAAATCACTAGATGCACACCCCTAGTTTGTTGTTCTGGCATTAAAATTGGTCATTTTTTTGTTCTCTGCCTCACCATGCTGTGCTTGCAGCAGACCAGTGTAGAGTCAAATTAAAATCAGTAAATATACTCCCAAATTCAGTCAGGTATAAACATCACTCAACTGAAAACTCCAGTTGTGGTTCCTCAGTAAGTACGGAGTATACGCTTTATTAAATGCAAGTGGTCAAAAGTGAATTAATTCATTTGTAACTGCAGTTAACTAAACGATTTTGTACTCTTATGCAATTGAAGTTTCAAAGTGATGTAGCGTGAATGTTCTGTCATTAGTGGTATAACACCTAATCAGATTCCTTGTTGCAACTTGCAGGACTACTCCACTTCAGACAACTCCATTGAAGACGACTGCTTCGATAATGGAAGGGTATCTCGTGCATATTCTATGGTAGGTCTTATTCAGCAGGGTCTCATATCAACCGAACATTGGGATACAAGGGAACTCTAATTGACATAATGAGTGAAGCAGCGATTAACAATGTGAATGGGAGGGATGGCACATTAGTGTTGCGATAGTCAAAAAGTCTTCATGAAATATTAAATAGCCAAGGAAAGTCCATGAGAGTGCAACGCCATTGCAGTTACGGCCCTTTTAGGAGCATGAACACTGATGTGTGTAGGACTGTTTTAACTGATGTAAGTATGAGTGTCATAGAGTGTTTAAAAGTTGCACCATTGCTTAATTACAGGCTTCATTGGATCAAGACGCATCAGAAGAGGTCGGGTCACATGAAGATCTGGAAGCATTGATAGACGTGCTGCGCTGCGAAGTTCTACAGAACAAACGCGTGATTAAAAAATTGAAAATGAAAACGATGAGTTTACATTGAGATGAGGAGAAACACAACGAACACAAATGGGCGCAGATCTGCGCCCATTTGTGTTCGTTGTGTTTCTCCTCACCTCAATGTAAACTCATCGTTTTCATTTTCAATTTTTTAATCACGCGTTTGTTCTGTAGAACTTCGCAGCGCAGCACGTCTATCAATGTACAACCAACTAGCCCAAACCCAAGTCCAAGCTTTATTAATCTGGAAGCAACAGAGGCCACAAGTTCTTTTGCAACGCTATTTCAAGGAATTATCGGAGAACGTGTAGTGGTTTCTAAAGGTGACATTTTGGTGATGGTGCTGGAATATGCTGCAGCCAACAACCTCCCTTTTACTGGTCTAAGTAATTTTGTTAAAATGGTTAACAGCTTTTTTGCTGACCCAATCGTGCCAGAATCACGCTACTTTCTCAGAAAGATGTTTGATGCAGGCGGTGCCACCTTTCATTACTACTGCTCCAGGTGTTTTTGTTTTTTTTTTATTGGAAAATTTGATCCAGGCTGCACTACCTTTCAATGTCCACATTGTAGCCAAGTTTTGTAAGCTGTCTGACGTTTTGGAGCTCCTTTTTTCATCACATTTGATGTTCGGTCCCAGTTGCAAAAGTTGTTAAAAGCTGCACTTGTGGAACTAAATCCTGTATGCGGGGAACCGTGGAAGACGAAACTTTTACTGAACTTATACTCGAAAAAGCTTCTTTTGAAGAAAATTCACTTGATTCTGAAAAAAGTGAGGTTAATGTAGATAAAAGAGTTGGAACTCTGATAGACGACAACCTCCAAAAAATATCCGAGAGCCATGATGACAACGACGACGTCGACAATTCCGAGGTGAAGAGCCGAAAATGTGAAATCGAAGACGATTGCGAATTTGAGATTAAGAGCCGAGAAAGCGACGACGATACCGGTGGTGATGAGTCGGATGAAAAGAGCACAAGCGGCTGTGAGGTTAAGAACCGGTACAGCAACAACGATGACGAGTCCCCAGTGTTAATTCAAGTCATCATCCACAGCCGTATGGCCAATACAACTCTCAGTAAAGATTCCTCCCAAAGAGCGCATGAATAAGCCAGTATTAGCAGCACTTTGGTTTGGATAGAACAAGCCAAAAATGGATATTTTTCAGAAAGCATTTGTTGATATAATGCAGGACCTTTCTGATCTAGGGTTTCCTTTAACCTTCAAAGGTAAAGAAGAAAACTTCAAAGCTTTTTGCATTTGTTCAGCGGTACATTCAGTTGCACGGGCCCCCATGAAAGGAATTGTCCAGTTTAATGGCTACAATGGGTGCAATTGGTGCTTGCACCCTGGCAGGGACTCCGGAACCGGGGGGGGGGGGGGAGGGGGGCCAGGACCCCCCCAAGATTTTTCAGCATGGGGCTGAGCACCCCACTCCGACTTCGAATAACCGCCAAGCTATTTTTTCATCTACTGTAATTCCTCCAGTCACCGAGGCAGTGGAAGAGGCCGGATCAACGCCAAATAACCTTCTTCCGCTTTGCCCAACAAGGTAGACTGTCGGAGTGAAGTCAATGAAAGGTTAGCTGAAAACTAGGCTAGAGTTCAGGAGACACTGAACGAGCTGCTACGAAGAGAATATTTGATTGCAGACAACAGCAGGGCCATATTGAAGGGCTATGAGAGGCTTTTGAAAAGTTTGAAATGCTGCAAATCGCCGGCCGCTGTTCGCGACTGTTCTCCATTTCTTTTTATTTTCGTCTGGGATGGGATCCCATCTTTTCTGCAAAGTTCGGAAAGTGTTTGCACGGTCATTTTTCGCGATACTTTTTGTTTTTGTAATGCTGCAGAGACTGGTGAGCTTGCTCTGGTAATTTTAACATATTGTTTGCGCACGATTTAATAATCACCTATTCAGGTAATAAATTGTGACCACGCAGTTTGTAACGGATAAACAGTAACTTCTTACGACGTAGTACGAGTGGCTAAACACCTTTTTTCTGCTTCCCAGATGCGCTTTAAACACGTGTGATCCCCCTGAGCGGCGTTTGAGACCTCTAAATAAACTGCTCCATCTTTCTTCATGCGCGCATTGTTATTTGTTTGTCGTTGCAGTTGCAATCAGTGGATTCCGCTTTGCAAACGGGTTGACCGTAATGAAATGTTTCAGCTGTTGGGGTGAAGAAACGGGGCTCGCAAAGCTCGAGGACGTCGCGGAGCCTATGCTTTTCCATTGCGTTGTCCGCTTCCGTAGACTCCGAGTCCGCTAGAGGCGCCACTGTCACGTTCGCCGCCGCTCCCATAGGTTTTCGGAGGAGTTTCCAGTATTGGCGAAGCTATATCGTATTTGAGCATAGTCTGGGGCTTTGTACCAGACTATATGCATTGTGTTTCGCTAGGCATACCTAAACAGTTTCTAGACTACTGGCTCAAAGGTTGCGAGAGGACGTGTTATGTGGACCGAGATATTGCAGCGCTGGACGCCAGGCTTTTAAGCATAAAGCCTCCGAAGAATGTCAGGAGAGCACCTAGGTCTTTAAAGGAATGAAAATTTTGGAAGGCCAAGAAGCTTGAGAATTGGACCCTCTATTACAGTGTTCCTGTGCTTAGTGAAGTGCTGCCCAGCAGATACCTCTCCCACTGGGCCCCTTTGGATGAAGCGTTGCACCGAATGCTGCAGCAAGAAATTTCTTCCGCAGATGTTGACCTCTGCGAGCTCCTCATGCTTGAGTTTCTTGTAAAAACACAACAGTTGTATAGTGAACAAGCCATGACATTTAACGTCCACCAGATGGAGCACATCGTGGACGCACTCTGCTTTTCCCTTTGAGGCAAGCAATGGTAAATTGAACTCCTGTATTAAAGCAGCGAAGGGGATCCCCCATCAAATTTGTTCAACACTAGCACTGGAGAATGTGGTGTGTGAGCTTGAAGAGCTGGTTACTACCAGTGCAGTTTCCAGCTACTGTTTATACCTCGTGTCTCATATGACACAAAAATCTGTCTGCCTTCAGATGGAAGGAGTTCGCCTGCTGGGTAAGGGGTGTCCCTATCAGGAGCTCAGTGGGGTTGTACCAAATCCGCTGGAAGTGTCGCCTCAAGCTGCTGAGTATCAGCGTATGCTGAAGGGGGTACAGTTTATACAACTGCTTCATATGTTGGGAACAAGAGGAACAACAGTTCTGTAGCTAAACTCAGGCTGACAATGCGATTAAGAACTTCGAGATCACCAATCTTAAGCCAAAAAGGGTCAAACGTGCGGCAGCCAAGTTGTGCAAAGAATTACAAGTGTCCAAGCTGGAAAAAGAAATTGGAAAGACCACGAAAGGTAATCTTGATGTATTCCTTTCTGTTAAGACACATAAAGTGAATGCACCCCTGCGGACTATCGTTACCGAGAAGTGGGCGTGGCAGAGACAGGTCAGTCGATTCCTGCAAGAGCACTTAAGTCGGTTAGAGACCTGTGATCCCTTTTTGGTGCGCAATTTGCAGAGTGTCATAGATTACCTTAGTAGTGGTGCAGTCACAGATGTGGGGGGCTTTTCCATAGATGTTGAGGACCTTTTCTATTCCATCCCTCATTGCGCTCCGTTTGTCGCGGTTCGTGAATGTATTGAAAGAAATGGCGAGATTGGCTTCCAGAACGCTAGCGGAGTGTGTACTGATGGGTCTTTAGAGCTTCTCAAGTTTTTGTCTGGAGTCAACTTTTATCCTATTTAACGGTAAACTTTACGTTCAGAAAAAAGGAATTTGTATCGGTTCGTTTGTGACGCCTGTGCTTTGTGATATTTTTTTAGCCAAGTGCGATAGGGCCATTTCTGAAAAACTGAATGACGAGCGAGTTTGTAAAGTGTTTCGTTACGTGGATGATTTTTTGGTTTTGTTTATTAGGTTGGAGGGCATATGTGAGGCAGATGTCGTGAGGTCTGTTTTAGAAGTTTTCACACATCATTCGGAGGGGCTCACTTTCACTCACGAACTTCAGGATGGGGCTTACCTACAATTTTTGGATTTGAGATTAAAATTCATTGCTAAACACATTTGCTGGTCTTATCACCCACGCTCAAAGAAGGGTCTTCTTCCATATGATTCATCGCACTCTAAGCTGGTCAAGAGAAGCATTGCCTCGTCTTGCCTACAAGCTGCACTCGAGAAGTCATGTCATCATGTCGTTAAAGATAGTTTCTCCCGGCAGGTTCAGAGACTGACCGTGGCAGGTTTCCAAACTTCGGTTTTATTGAGCGTTGCAGAGTGTTTGTTAAGGAAACTCAAGGGGGAACCCCGTCCCTGGAGGGAAAGGCCAAGAGACTGCTCGTAATACCGTATCTCCACAAAATTTCACACAACTTGAAAGAAGTTGCCTTGAGGTACGATGTGCCATTGGTGTTTTCCGCTCCGTGTAAGCTGGCGCAATTATGCGCGAGAGTTGCCGATAAGGACAAAGGCCCCGCTTGCTCGGTGAAGCATGAGAATAAATATGTTGTTTGCAAGGTGGGAGTTGTTTACACGATTCCACTAACGTGTGGGAAAGCCTACGTCTGTCAGACGGGAAGATGTGTTAATCACAGACTGCGGGAGCATGACTCGTCGTTGCGATCTGTGGTGGGAGCTGTAGGGGGGCATTTGCCATTGCATTGTCATGGTTGTGGGAGCGAACCTATCTCCAGTAAGACTAGTACCATTGGCAATGGAAGGGAAAGAGTGAATAGAGAAATTTTAGAGGCGCATGCAATCATCAAAGCCGGCGCGAACTGCGTAAGCCAAACGTCACTGGGCCTGAGTAGCAAAGAGATGGTTTTTTTGGACACGTGGTGAATGTATCATGTGACGTGGGCGGAGTTGTTGTTTTCTTTGTTTTGTTTCCATGTGATTAAATTTCAGTTGAGAGTCAGCGCTTGTCCTGTTTGCACTTCCTTTAGTCCCCGTTTACTTCGCACTGTATGCCTTTTTGTTAGAGTTAGTACAGCAGAGACAATTCGTGAGAATTGTCTATGATCACTACGCTGATTGGAGAGTTTTTTTATGATTACGCGAGTCTTTTGGATACTCTTGACCTTTTGCCTCTTTCGGATAGAAGACTAGTTCATGACATGGCGTTCCAACATAAGTTGCCCAACACTGTCATCGATTCCCCAGTTATTAAGTAAAACATTAATTCATGTTCCCCAGCAACAAAATAGATCTACAACTTTTTCCTATGGATGCAGCTTATGTATGACAAGATTTTTAACACTGACATAGACTTTTTTTGTACTTTTGCAAATTTCAAGAACAGTGTTATAGTAATGCTCATTGTGTAGCATGTACAAACGTAGGTCCTACTTGTCTTTCACTTCGTGCAAGTTTAAACCTGCTAAGGATTTAAAGCTGTTTGGGACAGATTGAAGATCTGATAATTATTATTATAATGTTTCTCCCACCTGTAAAGATTTCTCGCCAACATGTGCTAAATGTGATAACATTATGCCCTGCAGAATGCATTCGCAACAATGGACAACGAGGTCGCCCTGGTGTTGCCCAGCCGCAGGGCGCTGCTCCAGACGATAAGGAGGGCCCGAAATGCCATGCGTCCTGCTGAACCGACCTGTGCAGAGGATGTAGACATTGTGAGCCCCTACAACCAGACTCTGGATGGCCAGGATTTCCTGCTGTACCAAGGGTCGGCGCAGGGGGCACACTTCCTCATCTTCAGCACAGCAAACAACATGAAGCTCCTGTGCGACAGCACAACTGCGCTCGGTGATGGAACATTCTTCGTAACACCGAAGATATACACACAACTGTACACCCTCCACGGGTGGTGTGGCCTCGCGGCCAGCGTGCAGAAAATGCTGCCTCTAGTGTAAACCCTCCCCACAAGCAGGACTGAGGAGTCCTACGTGCACGTGTTTGAGGTTGGTTCCTGTTAACGTTTCTGCCCTAATAATACAAGCTGGAAGTCTTAGAGAAACTAAATTGTAGACATGCTTATGAACACAATTTTATGATACAATAGCCAGTGTTTGGTATGCTACGTCTATAAACTTCTTTTTAAGATGGCTTCTTAAACTGTGAGATATGTAACACCAATGCTAATCGGAGTACATTAAATAGCTTAGGTCATGGTGGCTGATGTTGGCATGGCAAGGCCACATACCAAGTGCGTTTCCAGTCTTGTTGATGTACACTACACGACACAGCATGAGCTAGCAATCCCCAAGATTTTTTTAATGTTTTCTCTTATAACCGAACAGCTGCAAACTCTAGTGTGGTGAAAAGTTCTCATTTGGAGTTCCAACACCAGAAGCAAAATTTGATGCGTATCAACTATGCACAAGCAAAACGCAAAGAGCAGATGTCATAACAGTGTCACACAGTGTGCATACAGTGGTCAGCAAACTTATTCCGAACACGTGAACAGTGGCTTATCTTGTGAAAGAGCTTTCCTGGTGGATCCAAAAAAAATGGCTCCATGACGTGGTAGGCAAAGGAACAGCCCAAGTAGACGAGGCCGCTTGCTCAAGGCTTACAGGGGCGAGGTTGCAGCGGCGTCTGAAGAACAGGGCATCGGCAAACACTGAACACGGCAGGCAGTATTGACAGGATTGTGCTAAGAGTAGACGTCCCACCGAAAAAGTTGCTGCGCTGTTGCCGGTCCAGCTGCAAAGCCGGCCTTGAGCAAGCAGACTCCCCCGCATGGGTTGTTTCATTGCCCACCACGTCATGGAGCCATTTATTTTTTGTTCGGCTGGCGCTTTCACGAGACAAGACACAGTTTGTGTGTTCCGAGTAAGTTTGCTGGTCGAAGGTCAGTATAATATGTCTTGTTTTATGCTCTACACCCTCATGACGAAGGGTGATGCGACGAGCAGCAACAACTCCTTGGTCTGAAAGGCCTTCGACGAGTTCTTCCTCAGATGAGTCCACTAGGCGGTCCTCCGAGATAACTCCTTGAATTGTTTTAAGTCTGCGGTGTGGAGTAACATTTACTTTGTATTCAGACACAGCCTTGAGAGAAAGGAGGGCATCACTTTGTTTTTTGGTGTTGATCTCAACAAGAAAATCACCGGATGGCATCTTTTTAGCAGAGTAATCTTTCTCAACGATTCCTTCCAGTACCTTGGCAACCAAGAAAAGGGACAGTTTGGCAAGTGTTTTTTCTTCTTCAGAGTGTAAGAAAAGAAATTTTTGAAATTTTTTCGAGTACTTTGGATGTTTCGGGAGTGACTCGAGCTTCGTTGCAACCTCTTTTCAGAGGCCAATCAAGAAAGGTTTTGTTGTGCGGACTCATGTGAGATGGGAGGAAAGTACAGTGCCCGGGTGCACCACCCACCACGGAGCCCAACAAGGGGGTAGGTAATGTGCCATAGCAAGATGGGCTTGGCTGACATAATTACTCTACCAGGGCTGCCTGGGAACTATACCCTAGTGTGGTTGCAGAGACAGGACCTGTTTCCACTCAAGGTTGGCCCTTACCGCCTAAGAGGGTGAAAAAGAAAGGAAGAGAGTGTATAAGAAAAGAGAAAGAGGTGGGAGGAAAAGTGAAAGAAGGAAGAAGAGGGTAGAAGAGGTGACTGACAGGATCATCCTGGTCGGACCAAGCCAGGACATTAGTCTACAAGAAGCAGGGGCCGAAGTGGTGTATTGCCTTGCCCAGGGGGCCCCGAAGGGTCCAAACGTACCCCGGGGTCAGCTCAACCACAAGGACCCCCCTTTCCCCGGACTTGGGTGTGCCACGCACAGCCAGACGTGGGTGGGTGAACCCACATGGTTTGGGGTTCGTGGTGACGCTACTCACCAAGCACCTAGCACCTAAGGTGCAGGCGCCCCCTGCGGGGCTCGGGGTACGTGGAGAAGCCACTCTCCAAACACCTGCTTTCACAGGTGCCCTCTGCGGGGTGCTTTCGTCATATAAGAATGTCGCTCAAATCCTTCCCGTAACTCGTATCACAGCAATGGAGCTGCATGATCTTCTAAAGAAAGTAACCATGGGCCTTAAAAGTGCCGGTCTGCATGTTCTTGCAGTCATAACAGACAACAATGCGATTAACCGGAAAATGATGTCTCTATTTAGTGAGCAAAATGAGCCCGGTATTGCTTTCCCGCATCCTGCCAACCCGCAGCAGCCACTGTTTCATGTTGTGGACACCAGTTCACTTGCTCAAGTATATACGCAACAATAGACCCTTTGCAAAAATCCAAAAAGCCCGCGCGACGAATAATGGGAGTCCTCGGTACGCCCCTCCTCCCGCTACCACATGACTTACACAAGCAGGCGCAGGTTACCACGGCAACAACAGCCAAGTCAGGTGAGCGACGAACCACCGGCTGCCCCTTTCTCATCCCTATCCTTTGTACTGGCTCTGTCATCCGCTGCACCAACGCATTGTCGAACCTGGTCGAAACCTGCCACGGTTGCGGTGCAAGATAGTTGGATTCGGCGACACTTCAGTACGTGAAGGTAAGTTACGACGAATAACGTATCAGTGGTGGGAATGCTGTGCCAATTGCGCCTAGCTGCGCCAATTCATAAATGCTGCTACATCCTGCTACAATTGGGTGTTTTTTGCTGAAATTGTGCCATCCCTGCTCCAAAGGAACATTTCCACGACCGAAAATCGCAAACAGCTCCTTGTCACCTCAGAACGAACAACAGGCGGCGCAAGTTACTGGCCAATACTAAGGGAGTACTATAGATAGTCAAAATGACAATTGATAGCCAACAGGATTCAATCCTAATCCTGTCTTCCTTGTTCGGGTGAGTGGGCCCGTTCGCCTCGGTGCTTCTGCGATGGCGCTTTCAACAGGTGTATGTTGCCGAGTTAAATAGTATAAAGAACCTGAGAGCGTGTCATTATGGATGCATGGTTGTGGCAGGTTTAATCCTTGTAGCAAACCTAAACTGAACACATTAACACGCACGTTTCAAACTGTGTTTGAACACTTTCGCTTGTGATTGGCAAATCGACTCGCAATTGACGCTTTTCGTGATACGCGTGGAGTGGGCTGCTTCTGTGATTCTCGAACAGTTAGTAATAATAATAATAATGTGCAAATGAAAATATTATTATTAAAGCGAAAATCTCCATAAGCGGGGAAGAAAGCATCATCACGTGCGCTTGTGCTATACGGAGCACGGCATGAACTGGTCATCGCTTGTTTTTCTCTTTTCTTTTTCAAATTTGTCGTCATAACTACTACCTAGTGTGGTGAAATCTCATTCGGGTTACCTACCAATAATGTAAAGCATGGTGCTGGTTAATTCTGTAACGACTATTTTTGCTGGCTGGACGTTTTGCGAAGTTGGAAAGCGCAAGTTTCTGGGAAATTTTGCGGGTAAAAAAATTGGCAACCAGATGGTATGTATGCTTTTTATTCGTTTCTATGGTATGTGTTATTTGCATGACTAATATTTTGCGATGGCTTAATTAATCCCTCGCTAAAATTAAGGAGTTTACAGTACCACATCTGATCTCAATATTTTTTTTAGCCCGCAAGTTTGTTTGGAAACCTAATTTGCAAAATGTTGAGTCTGGCCATTATGTGAAACGGTACAGTGTCGTCTTTGCACTAGCTGTGTCGCAAATGTATTGGGAGCCCCGGCGTGTATACGAGTTTAAGCGTATGTCTCAAATTTTAAGGAGAGCAGACTTCTTAAATATTTTGCTGTCTCAAATTTTAAGAAGAGCAGGCTTCTTAAATATTTTGCTCGCTCAATGACTTGTGAAAACTTTGCCGTTCTGTCAGTCAGCCAATAGCCAGGCTGAAAATATCTAACTTTTTCAAGAATCTTGCATTTAGTGACTTATCTTTTAAAAGCCACGCACATTTGAATACTGTCATGGTAAATTCTGTTGATATCGTCAAGGAAATATTAACGTCGAGCACATTCTGTGCAGGGCGTCATAACCAGTTTAACGTGGACATACTGCAACAGACAGAGGACAATGGAGACCGCATTGTGCTCTAGTGCAGACCAGGGGAGAGAAGAGGATGGTTACTGCATTGTGTGTGATCAGATAATCAACTGTTCTCAGCACGGCGTAACCGCGGTGAAACGCCACTCGCAAAGTAAGGAACACATAAATATGTCTAACGCCCGAATTTAGGGACGTTCCTTTCCTTACCGGGGCACCTTTCCTCTCGTAAGTGGGCGCACTTGCGAATCATAAACAAGCCTAACCTTAGACTGGCTCCTTTAGGTAAGTTTTCCTTACTCCTTTCTTTAAAGATCAGAGGAAGCGACGTAGCTACCTTAGATCCTTCCTTTCCTTTCCTTGCCTCTTCGACTGGCATGGCGACGTTTTTTCGAGAGTTGGACGATTTCGACGATTTTGGGAGTGTTGTGGAGTACTGGTGTAGGGCCGCTGAACTGTATAAAGGCCGGTTCACACATGCAGCGGAGCGCTAAGTTAGCGCTATGTGAGCGCTCCAAGGAGCGCTCATGTGGCGCTTCCTAGCGCGTGATGTAGCGCTCGGTTAGCGCTTCAGTAGCGCTCTGTTAGCGCTTCAGAAGCGCTTTGTTAGCACTCTGTTAGCGCTACAGAAGCGCTCTGTTAACGCTCTGCACGCTCCTTGTGCCGTGCTTGCTGCTGCGGAACAGCGCGTGCACGGCGATTCCTTTGTTGTTGTTTTTCCTTTGGCATTGAAAGAAGAGGAAGTAAAAGAGCCGCTCTCCAAGCAAAGGGTCGGGCAGGCGGCCCAGAGTCATGGACTTTGAGCGACTAATTGATTGGGTACGACCTCATCGCTTTCTATTCGATATGCGTGACCCTGGTTTCAAAGACATGCAGGTCAAAATAATCGCCTTCGAAAGAGCTCTGTGTCTCGGTCCCTCAGCCTAGGAACAAGGTTCACTAGGTATACCTGTCGGTATCTCGGTGGCGAAAGATGTCGCGCACCCAGAAGGCTCTTCTGGGCGTTAAGCCGTCCACACACACACATGCGCTAATCGCGTATGTGAGAGCATGCATTGGTCGCATTTCTATTTCAGCATCCCACATGTCCACCATGGTGCTGCTGATTCACACCCAAGCACAGGAACCGGAGCCGCAGTGCAC